AATGTCAATCTCATTTAGGACTACTATCTCATTAAAGTATCAGATATCCATTTCTGTTACCATCCCTTCAAGAAGTTTTAGTAAAGATACAGCTATTATCTGTGATACATATAAAATAAATTCAGTTACTAAATTTTCTTTGGCTGAATTTAGAATGAATTGGGCAGTAGAAGGATTATCTCTGTGTAAAATATTCCTATGAAAGTGAATTAAAATCATAGATTCTTTGCAAACAGAGCAGACATCGTTTAAACATCATCAGAAGCTCATTCCAATAATGAGGCAGGGTTTGATGAGAGAATGTGTGTTTATTGGAAACAAATTTCCACATGCACAAAATAAAACTCTAATTAGTACTGTCATTTTTAACTCACCATAGACTACATAGTTCAACTTTTTACTTTTCCTCGTAATTTGTATTTCTTCAAATAGATATGTTTCTCATTTTTGTTCAGTAAGAAGCATGGTAGAAAAAGTATAAATTTGGGGATCGAATAGGTGTAGGTTCAAAAGTCCTATTTTTTTTTTTTGGTAATTCCTCTCTGAGACTCAGTTTCTTTACACGTAAAAGTCAAAAACACCTTCCTCATGTGTATTTGGTACCCTTCTTATAAGTAGGTCTTTGAAAAAGTCAGACCTGTGAAGCTGTGAAGCATGTTCCACCATCTGGATCCAAGAGCATTCCCAGTAGGATGGGTCCAGTGGGAAATGTGTCTGGGGCCAATGATTTGAGATGACAATTCAAGAGATAGTAAAACCTCTGCCTACCCTGTGGATTTCGACACTTTTTTCAATTAAAAGAAAAATTTGTTATGATAGATAAAAAAAAAAATACAAAATTTGCTAACAACTATTTTTTCTTTCTTTTTGTATCATCAATAAATACTTCAGACATTCAAAAATGCCTAGTAAAACATTTTTTAGTTTAAAATGACTTTTCAATATTTTTGAGAATATGAAACTTGAATCATTTACATTTTGAGTCATAACCAAAGAGATTTTCCTGGCATTGATATTTTGAAAGACACCTTTGTACCCACCACAAAAATTTAATGAAATGTTTAAATTGCAGTGAAATGTATTCTCTCAGTAAACTATGTATTAAACTGTCATTTTTTGCTAGTTTAAAGTGCTTCTCAGATTTTTGAAAATATGAACACTGAATAATTTGCATCTTCTCTTGTACAGAGAAGGCACTCTTTTGGGTATGTACATAGGGAAGAAAGGGTAGAATGAAAAAAAATACTCTCCCTGATTGAGCTTACAATCTTCTAGGACAGCTAAAACACAGTTGCAAAAAAGAACATCAATAAAAACAAAGCATAATTCAAAGTTTTAAACAGAAGAAAATTAATTCAGGGAGAATTTAGAGCAAGGAGCATCTACATTCAATTTGAAAATGAGGAAAGTACTCAAGGAAGATATGACTTTTGATGTGGTCCATAAGGTTTAATAAGAATTTGAGAGATAGAGTATGGGCCATGATTCTTGATTAAAAGCCACGTAAACTGATCATGTAGCTTTAAGCAAAAAGTAAACACATTGCAAAGTTATTGGGAGCTTAGAGAATCAATAAAATGCTGAAAGATACAGCTAAGAAAATATAAAAGAAAAAGCACATTTAGAGAATTGGCAGGAATCTTGCTAGGCAGCAAGGAAAATCTGTCCAGAAACCATAATAATCATATGCTATAGCCATTAAGCCATCACTATATAAACAACAACAACAACAAAAAATGTGCATCATTAATACCTTTTGCTTCTTGCATCGCTCTCCAGAGTCACCTAGAATAATCTATAGGCACCTAGTCAGCTATTTTAGGTGATAAGCTAGCAGCCTGGACTCAGGAACTGGGGAGTGGAAGAGTAAAAGAAAGGAGACCCCTGCTCTGTGACATTACAAGTAAGAGAACAAATACTGCTTCTAGCGATTTGGATACTAGTAATTCTGTAATTTGTATTGACATACTGTGTTATTTATATGCATTAAAACACAGATTTTTTTTTAGGTTAGACTACCTTTTCAATATTTTTGAAAATATAAACCTGAATCATTTACATTTTGAGTCATAACCAGAGCAACTTTCTTTGCATTGATATTTTGAATGAAAGGACTACTCATTTGAAAGGCATTTTCTCATTAAATAGAGTAAAAATTTGGAGTTAGCTACCAACTGTTTCGTTTCCCTGACTAGAGTAGAATCAGAAATCTTGTCGAGCAACTGAAAATTATTGTATGCAACATGCCACAGATTTAACAATGATCTAACACTGATACACTTTGCTGTTTAAGATTGTACCTTTTTAATATGTTTGAATTATATAATGTCATTTTTTATTTAAATTTTAAACTGTGTTCTGATTTATGTATAGTTTTCCCTGCACATAATTTTATTACAAAGGTATTAACATATATAGTTTTTATTCATTTACATTTTGATTGTTTTATAAAATGTTACCATATTTTTGTTTTAAAATGTATTAATTTTTTTACTTACTGATTTAGAATTGTGCCATTTTAAAAATAATAATTCTCTTCAAATAAATAACCAAATGCTAGTAATGTCATTTTGCTGTAGTACAGCTATGAGTAAACACTTTACAACAATACTTTCTACAATAAAAGAATTTCCCCCAAATAAAAATGGGTGTTTGTGGTAGAATAGGAGAAAAATTACCTGAGAGTTATCAAATGCAGGATCAGAGGCAGGAAAATGTAGGACATATTGGGAAATGGTGTTACTCAGCA